AAAGAGTCGAAATAAACAAGACTATTCATTGTACCATTTTATTTATTTACTTATTGAGAGGCTTTTGCTATAGGGCACGTGCACTCACCAGAAAGACAGAGACAGAGAGATAGAAAGCAAGAAGTCACCCTCAGCGGGGATGGCCACACCACAATCCCGTCTCCTCCATTCTCCTTTCGGGATCTTGGGCACACATGCACATGTACCCAGCGTGAGTTTAAGCCACTGGGTCCAGGACTCGAACCACGGTTGGCTACATGGGAGTTCAGCAGCACATAGTCATTATGCTAACTGCTGGTCCCTCGTTGTACCGTTTTAAACCAGAAGTCACTGTGTGTGCGCATGTGCGTATATTTACAGTTTAACCATCTCCCGTGATGCTATTGTCTCCTAAAGAACAAAATGCCTTGATCAGTCAATATTGATTTAGCATCCAGCTAGGAACTTTCCAAAGAAAAACTGGATTATGTCAGTGAAGGATACAGAACAAAGACATAAGCTGAAAAATCTTTTTTTATCCCTGGGATGAAAATATTTAGCAAATGAGGCAAACTGAATCAGCTCTTCCCTTTTGAATAACTTGGAGAGTGGGCCCTTCTAATTTAAAATCTTACCTGAAATGCAACTATGTGTGCCAATACTTGTCCACTTGTAAATTATAAAACAAAACAAAAACCAAAAAACTTTAGATTTACTCGCTTTTCTTAATACAATCAAGTGATAAAATGTTGATTCAAGGCCCAGAGTCTGATGGAGGTAACAGTGGTACTAATAGCACACAGAACTAATTTTTTTTAATGAATGTCATTAACTCAGCAGCTGGCTTCTCCTCATCTCCCCTAGTTCTTCAATGCTCAGTCCTTGGACCTATTCCCTTCCCATTGGACCCTCCTCTACCAACATCCAGTCTCTGGCATTTAATGCTAAACTCTCCCAAAGCATATGTTGGGTCCAGGTCACTGTCCTAAATGCTGAATATACATACCCAATTTCCTAAGTGACAACTCCACTCAGAGCTCTAATAGACATTTCAAGCCCAACACATAAAAAACTGAGCTGTTTTTCAGGACCAGCAGTTAGCGTAATGGCTATGTCGCTGGACTCCCATGTAGTCGACCGCGGTTCAAGTCCCGGACCCAGTGGCTTAAACGCATGCCGGGTGCGTGTGTGTGTGTGCCCAAGATCCCGAGAGGAGGATGGAGGAGAAGGGATTGTGGCGTGGCCATTCCCCCTGGGGAGTGATTTCTCACTTTCTGTCTGTCTGTCTGTCTGGCGAGTGCACGTGCCCTGTAGCAAAAACCTCTCAAAAAAAAAAAAAAAAAGAAAAAAAAACCTGAGCTATTTTTCATTTTCCCCTTCACAGTAACAGTAACCTCATCCTTCCACATCAGGCCCCAAATCCTGAGGGTCCTCATTGATGCCTGGCTTTCTCTCATATCCCACAAAGAATCTACTGACAAACAGTGCTGCTCCTATGTTCAAGTAGAACCAA